ATGTACCCCATAAATATATACACCTACTATATACCCACAGAAATTTAACTAAAAAGCTTAAAATTTTTTTTAATTTTTAAAAATGTTCTATATCCTGATTATGATGGCGGTGACAAGGATTTAAACATTCGTTGAAACTTATCAAACGTTTCACTTAAAATGAGGGCATTTTATTGTATCTAAATTATGCTTCAGTAAAGTTGATTTTTAAAAGACATGCACACAAATATAATTTACAAATCATATCATTAGCTCGTTTATGGTGTACCATTCAGTCATTCTTAGAGTATTCAAAGTTGTGCAAACATCATTATCTAATTCAAGAAGCTTTACATTACCCCAAAAAGAAACCGTTTAGCTATTACCACTCACAGTTCCCCTAATCCTGCTAGTCCTAAAAAACTCTTACTCCTTTTCCGTAGATTTGCCTATTTTAAATATTTCATATAAATGCAATCATACAGTATGTGGCTCCTCCACGGACGAAGGCAAAAATGACGATTTAAACAGTCTAGCATTCTCACAGAGGGTTATAACGCCTAGTAGAGTGGGTCCTGGGTGCGCTCTGCATTGTGGGTCGGCTTGGGGCAGAAAGTCATTTAAGGGACCTCCTTCCACTTGCCGCAGCGCCTCACCCCTTCCGGCTCTAGACTACAGTTCCCAGAAATCCTTGCGGCTCTAACCAACTTCTGGCCCGAAGCTGGCGACCTTTTCCTGTTTCTCAAGGAACTCCCTGGGGTTGGCCGGTACCATGGAGGAAGATTGTCTTCAGGGTGCAGGGCCAGCGTCCTATGGCAGTTTCACTCTGAGCCTGTGTCTGGATCACGGAGACGCAGAGTAGCCGTTCGGAGTAGGGAGCAGGGATGTCCCGGAACTGTGCAGCAGCAGGAACCCGAAGGACCGGGCGCCATCTTCTCCGCGCGGTCCTACTCCGGACTGTATTTCCCAGAGATCCCCGCGAGTCCAAGGCAGCCGTTTCATTTGCCTGCTGGACCCTCGGCCTCAAGGGTAGGGGAAGTGCGCGGTGAGCGGCCTGGGTCTTGCGGGTTCCGCTGGGGCCCGCAGGTGCGTGCCTGGGAGTTTGAAGGGAATGACCAGGCTGGTTTGGAGTGTCGGGCATGTATGAGTTGGTCGGGCTGATGAAGAGGGTAGGGGGGAGGCGGGCGCGAGGCGTGGACTTACGTGTGTGAGTGTTACCTTATGTAACTGTGCCTTGCTGTGTGCGCGGGTGTGGTTTTATATACTCGTTGTGGTTGTGTGATTGTAACAATGTAAGGCTGTGTGTGTAGGTATGACTGTGTCCCGTGTTGGGACTGTGATTGTGTGTGTCTGTGTAACTTTGTGTGACATTGTGGAGGGTGTTTGTGTGGAGAGAATCTGATGATGAGGCTGTGACTGTGTGTTACTTTGAGGGGTGCGTGTGTAATTGTGTTTGTATGACTGTTAGCAGCGCTTAAGTGTACTGGATGCCTTACTGAGTGACAACGTGAGAATGTGAGAGTGTGACCATGTAACTTTATGTGGCACTGTGTCTGCGGTTGGAAAGTGCGTGTAATTGTGCCGGGGTGACGATATGTGCGTCCTAATGGTCATTGTGTTATTTTGAATGTGTGATTGTGTGTAGTGCTCAGTAGGGGTCCTGGGGAGGGGGGAACTGTGACTTTGTGTGGCTCAGTAGTGAGTGTGATATTGTGACAATCTGTAGCACTCTGGTTTTGAATGGTGCTATGTTTAGGGGTCTGTAAACATGCGAGTGTGACTGTGTATCCTCAACGTAGATGTGGGACAATGATTGTGTGACCATATATAGTGTTATTGTTTGGGTGAGGTGTGCCTGTGGAGGTGTATGTGGGTCCCCATGGTGGCTAGGTGGCTGCAGCATTGGGTATGCGGTGCTTGTGACTGTCTTTGTGACTCCAGCTCTCCCTGTGAGGTCAGGACAGATTCTCATGGAGAGGAGAGACATCACCCCTCTGATACCAAGAATGCTCAGGACATCCTACACTTCTCTGGTTTTGTTTTGTTTTAAGATGGAGTTTCGCTGTTGTTGCCCAGGCTGTAGTGCAATCTCGGCTCACCGCAACCTCCATCTCCCCGGTTCAAGCAATTCTCCTGCTTCAGCCTCCCGAGTAGCTGGGATTACAGGCATGCGTCACCACGCCCTGCTAATTTTGTGTTTTTAGTAGAGACGGGGTTTCTCTGTGTTGGTCAGGCTGGTCTCGAACTCCCCACCTCAGGTGATCTGCCTGCCTCAACCTCCCAAAGTGCTGAGATTACAGGCTTGAGCCACCGTGCCGGGCCGCCTACACTTCTCTGACCTCCCCCATCCCTTCTTCTCTTCATAGATAGTAGCTGTAGATCCAGAATGACCTCTGATCTGCTCAGTCTGAGCCACAAGAAAGGCCTGGCATCTCATGATTCCTTTCTTCTTCAACTCTGCTGTTCTCAGAGAGTTACCCAGAGGAAGAATGACTGTTGATCAAACCAAATACAAGGTGCATTGGGTTTCCTCTTTGCTTCTCTTCTCTGGATAGTCGTAGTTAACATAGAGTCAGCAAGTGACCTGGTTCTTATAAGTTTCTATTCAAGAAAATGATGAGAAGCCTTGGAGTGGACACAGAGAGCCCAGCAGTCTGTTACTTCTTTCTACAAAATGTTCGCTTATTAATTTAGAAAATAGAACACTTTTCCCAGTGTGCTAAAGTTTTGTTTTTTTTAAACACACACACACTCCCCCCTCCTCTGTCTCACACACACCCACACAATTCCAAAGAATTTGGAAAATAGGGAGTTACAAACAGCAAAAGTAAATCTACTATCCAGAAACAACCCAGTAATATTTTGGTCTATTTCCTTCTATTGAGTTTCCTATGCACACATACATTATTTTCAAGATTGGAATTTTATGACATTTACTGTTTCATATCTTGTATTTTCACTAAAAATTATGTATGGTTCTTATATTTGGTTTTCTTTTCTCTCTTTTTCTTTTTTTTTTTTTGGTCTTGACATGGAGTCTTGCTCTGTTGCCGAGGCTGGAGTGCAATGGCGTGATCGCAGCTCACCCAGGCTGAAGTGCAATAGCTAGATCTCAGCTCACTGCAACCCCCGCCTCCCAAGTTCAAGTGATTCTCCCGCCTCAGCCTCCTGAGTAGCTGTGATTACAGGCACCTGCCATCATGCCTGGCTAATTTTTGTATTTTTGTAGAAACGGGGTTTCACCATGTTGGCCAGGCTATTCTTGAACTCCTGAACTCAGGTGAGACCTCCCAAAGTGCTGGGTTTACAGGTGTGAACTACTGCTCCTGGCCTATACTTGGTTTTCTTTGTTTAATCCCTTTATATTACATCATACAGAAAACTAGTTAAAATATAGACGTGTAGTTTAAGAAGTAATTATAAAGAGACCCTCTGCTCAAAAACTTGCTTCAGCACTCCAGAAGGGCCCTCCAGTCCTTCCACCAGAATAAACTTACCCTACCTCCCTCTTTAGGTAACACTTATCCTGACTTGGTAATCGTTATTCTTGACTTTTTAAAAAAAGTTTTGTTTTGTTTTTACCACATATCTGCTTATCTCTAAGCAATATAGTTTAGTTTTACCTTTTTAACACTATATAAATGAAATTGTACTGTATAATGTTGTTTTGAGTCTTGGCTTTCTTGTAAAATATTATATTTGGGCCAGGCGCAGTGGTTCACG